CTTCTCGATCTAATGAATGTTTCAATCAATTCCAATATAAGAACATATATAACTTATATACATTGAAATATATAATTATAAAGAATGAAAATATTTATAGAAATGAAAAGGCTCCAAAGTATTTTTAATCTGAATTTACGTACATTTATAAAATTAGAGAATAGGAATAGCGATAATTTTAGAATGGATATAGAATTTCAGGTAGTATTCATTTACATATATCAATATTAATATAAATGATCTCAAAACAGATATAAATAAATTTTAATTAATTTAAAGCAAATTTTCATGAATGTTATGTTTAACAAGATCTATAAATTTGTGAATGTTTAGGGTTATATGGAAAAGTTCTATTGATTATATGAATATGGATCATATCGATAATTTGATTTTTAATTATTAATTATTATCTAATTTATTTATAGAATAGTGTGATATAAATAATTTAAGAATATAATTTGGTTAGAAAGAATAAAATAACTGATTAAAATAATAGTAGAAATGTATATAACAATCTTATGATTATGATTTTATTAATGAGTTAAATAATTAGATGATACGGTATCATTTGGATAGAATTTACCTCTTAGAATGTTTATGTGATAACAGATCAATCCGATTACGCCAATATAGAACGTGAAAATTGTAATCTTCAATAATGAATTTCAATCAAGATAATATCAAATTATTGCCTTGCTTAAATTGAATGGAACCTTATTTACTTTATTTTTAAACAAGAAATATAGAGAGGATAGACTTGAGATACTAGAAAATCATAGCAACTTAGGATTTCAAAGAGTTTATTATATATGTCAACTAGAAACTAATTATTAATTTTAGAATGTTCATTTAATGCAATTATAATACTGACTCTTTGGAAAATATTTGGAACTTATAATAATTCAATTTGCTGTGGATTTTATCATTCGAAGCACAATAAAACATGTAAAGATTAGCATTTTCTTATTATGTGTAATTAATATCAGAAATACATGGTATATTAGATACTAGTTTCCAATTAATATTAAATTATTAAATTTAAACAGTCAATTAGCTGATTCAATTATTTTACTATTGAATTTTAAAAATCCGAGTTGGTTATGAAAAATATGAAATTATTCAATAGTATTGAAATAGTAAGTGTAGATGGAAGAGCAAGTTAGTAAGGTATAATGGTTAATATAAAGTATAATGATATTAAAAAATAAATTAAATTAAAATAATGGGAAACGCTGTTTTATGTTAGGAACCCAAGAAAAAAACAACGAGAGGCAAACAGAGTGAGAGAGCTCCTAAAAAAATTGAAGTTAGCGAAAGTGCCCCTTAAACACAAAGAGTATAACAGTAATAATAAGTTCGAACTCCAAAACCATAATAAGTTGATAATTATAATTGTCAAGTTCATTCTGATGAACCAATCAAAGCTGTTTGTATGTGTGATGATTGCTAACACAATAATAAAATTTTATGTGTAGAATGCTTGATAGATTATCCTTGTATTAAGAAACTTCGAATTTCCGATTATCTCAGACATTTAAGAAGCTGTTTATCGAAGGACGCATAAGAAGCATTTATGGAATTATTTGACGAAAAGAATTAGGTTAAGTCTGATTTGAGTAGACAAATTACAGCTGTGATTGAAATGGTCTTAACAAAGTTGTCTTCTATTGGATAGCAATATGTTCCAATTTTGATCACCAATTATTATTGGGCCTCACAGAGACTTCCATTCAAATTGAAAGAGTAGACAATACATTAGTTGGAGCTTATTTTAGAGAGTAAAGAGATAATTATATTATGACAATTTTAGATAAGGCTAATGAGGCTCATCCAGAAACCCTAGATTTCGCAATCTATTTGATTCAGAATAAAGGAGTAGTAGAGACGATGTGCGAGTCAATAGAGAGGAAGAAAAATAAAATAACCGAATTTTCAAATGACTTTGTATTTAAGTTTAATTAAGTAGTAAACAAATATATGACAGCAATAGAAGTAATAAATTCAATGTAGATATAGTTTTTATTTCATTTATTAACCACTCCAATGGAGTACCTTTTAGATGAGGATCAGAAACCATAATTAATGAGCAAGAGGGTTCTTTAGAATAAAGATTAAACTAACATATCTGGTAGAATTAAATAGAATGAGGATAAGTCCAACATCACTTCTCCCAAGGAACCTTAACAGGCAAATAATTAATAAAATTAGTAATAATAACAGAAGGTGAACTTTAAATGTCTGGCTCATAATTAGGAAGTAAAATAGATATAAAAATAGATAGGTGTTAGCTATTTGTGTGAAATTGGATTGTCAACATAAAGATAGAAAGATGTGTGCAGATTGTTTGATAGATACAAAATGTGTGGATAGAATGAAGATGAGTGAATTTAGTGCCAGATTAAGTAGAGTTTTGAATAAGGAAATCATTGAACAATTGGCTATTCCTTGGGATGACTTGAGTATTCATAAAGGGATTGAAAAGCTGTTTAGTACGGCTGGACAAAATGTTAAGAATTTGTTAACAGAACAGGCTCTCACTGTTAAAGAGATGTTCGTTAAATTTCATTTAATAGAGGAGTCTACTCCTAAAGAATTGAGGGGGTAGTTTACAAAGGAATACTTTGATCAATTTATTCATATGATGACTGTATAGTATATTATTTAAATTATTATTTTAGAAAAATAGCATCGAACAATCCTGCTGTTATTTTGGGGATTAAGTTCATAAATAATAAATAATTAATAGACAATATGTTGAGTGCCATTGTTAAGACTGAACAAGTGTTACCAAAAAAGGCCGATAAATTACAACATAAGCTCGTTAGTATTAGTTAATTGTTTTTGGAAAAGATCTAGAATCTAATGGATCTGTACAAATAACATGGTGAGATTGAAGCCATTTAAAAATAGTATCATTTATTGAATAGTGAACCCTTTTGTTTAGAAGAAAGCATATATAAAATTAAATAGGATGGCAAGAGTTTAAGTGAATGGGAACCCTTCCACTTTTTTAAGCCATCTGATAAAAATATTATTGATGTGTGTTTTGTTAATGAAAACTTAGCAGCCATAGCAATTATTGATGGAACTATTATAATCTATAATGTAAATTTAAAAAAACAAACTCAAATTCTAAAACATGGGATATTTGTATTTTCTTTGAGAGCCTTTTAATTCAATGGATAATCAGTATTACTTTCCAGTGGATATTCACCATAAACAGGTAACTCGTTATGCAGTTGGGATTTAAAAAGTCTTAAACCTACCTTTATTGTATAGTAAGCACATAACAACTCTATCAGAAAAATAAAATATTTGCATGTCAATCCTCAATTCTCATAAAACTTCTTTACTAATAGCACAACTAATGCTTAGTTAGGTAGTCAAGTATCCTAGACTGGAAGCATGAATAGCATATTTTTAGATATTGATGAATAGATATTATCCTGTTCAGACGATGGCATAATTAAATTATGGAAATTGGACACCAGTTTAAAAATTGTTGAAGAGCAAATCTTAAAATAAGGACAACAAGTCTTAGATTTCACTTTATTAAATGGATGCATTCTGGTTGCTGCGAATAACGATAAGACCGTATCCTTATCATTACCATTTTCAAATATTAATCCCTTTTAATACATCAATGATGATTGTCTTGTCTATGCTGTCTCACCTATAGATTAATTAATTTCGAAAAAGAAGTAATCCACGCAATAGAAATTCATCACAGGCAATGAAAAAGGCATAGCGAAAATATACTAATGGTAAAATGGCAGGGCTGTCATAATGAAATAGCTGAATTTGCATGAAGATAAAATTACTAAAATTTCTATGTATTGCTTCATATTACATTAGGTTATAACCAGGGTTTATAGCTAGTGTGAGCAACGACAAATCACTAAGCTTGACCTTAATACAGTAGGCCAAGGTCCTTACTAAAATAGAGAAGCATGAATATGGAATAGTTTCATTTGCTTACCTCAAGGCAAATGGATTTATGATAACAGCTGATTAGGGAGGAAATGCTATACTTTGGAGATGATTATTAATTATGAAAATCTAGTAATTGTTCTACTAAACTCTTTAAGCATAATATTAAGATAATGTTTATGTTTCCTCATCTCTTGAATATTTATTGGTATATAATATATTAAGTTTACTCTTTTTTTGAAATGCAAATGAAAACTTATTTTTAACATTATTATTTAATATTTTTTGAGTATGGTTAGAATAAATTGTGTGTAGGAATAGTAAATGTGGTTGTTTCTCTTTTTTGTTGATATTTAATGATTATTTATTAAAATTATTTGTATATTAACTTTGATGAGTGATTAACTAAATTTTAATCTCAAACTATATAGAGAAAGACTAACTGATAAGTATTAGAGAAATTCATCAAATTCAAATATCGGATAAGACAATTAAATAAACAGTCACAGAAAATCATTCAAGAAGAAGTAATTTTTAATGCAATTGTAGTGCTCCAACTCTCGATTCCATATCCAGTAGATTATAGAATTATAGCGGTAATAAACTAAGAACAGATACACGTGTTTGTTCTCCAAAAAATTTATCATCGCCTGTAACTCTTAATGGTATGCAATAAAAGTAAAAATAAAATTTATTTCAGAATTAAATCAATAACAACATCGCCTTAGCAATTTGTTAATAATAATTTTGGACATCCCATAAGTAGTCCAAAATCTGTGGTTACTCAATTTCAAGGATTTTATCAATCTCCAAGGGCATAAACTGATCGCAATGAAATTTAATAAATAAAACGATATAATTCAAATAATGATATTACTGAGATGATACCCTTCCATGATTTAGTTAATATGAGAAATAAACTAGAAAACTACGATATCAATGGTGCACATGTATCACCAACTTATCTAAGTGAAATAGTGAAATTGGCACATGTTATCAATACATAATTATAGAAAAAATGATAATGTAAAATAATATATCTATTTAAATAATATTATTAAATGTCAGCTAAAGAATTGTTAATTCAACTTTTTGCCTTGCCTAAAGGAGAAATCATATTTCATGACTATTCCTGTGCTCTCAAAAGCCTAATCTCCAAGTACGGTCGGATTTTCATTGCGGAGAATCACATTTGTTTTTATGCCAACTTGGCTGGGAGTAAGATCAATTTAGTATTCAAACTTAATGACATCCAGAGAATCGAGAGTAAGAACAAAAATGATATTGAAATCACTTTAAATAATAATAAGGTGTATTGTTTTACTAGTTTTTAAAATAAGGATCATGTGTTCAATTTTATGAATGCATTATTATAAGGCTAACCTCTAAGCACCTTCAGTGAACCCACAGTGCCTACTGAAGCATCCAACAGTGATTAATCAACAATTGATAATACTGATGTCGAAATTCAATTTTTGAAATCAGAATCCTCAACTGACTAAGAAATCTGCAATTTCACATTCCCTTTTTCATTAGATAAATTCTTCGATTTTTTCATAGCCGACAATGCTTCTTTGTATTCGGTGTATGATCATCGTTAAAATGAAAAAGACACTGATATGAATTTAACCAAGTGGACAGTCAATGAGGATATTTAAGACATGTATTAACGAGAAATGAAACATGTTATGAAACTCACAGGAGTACCCTTCAAAGATAAGACCAGAATGCACAAATTGTTCACTTACAAAAGAGATCAGCAAAAGATAAATTATACTTGCACAACACACACCTTAGATGTGCCATATGGAAATTGCTTTTAAGCTGAGGAAAAGTGGGAAGTTACTCAACTAGAAGATAACAAATGTATCCTTAGAGTATTTGTGTCAGTTGTCTTTACTAAGTCTACAATAATGAAAAATACAATCATAGGTAGAACGATGGCAGGATATAAAGAAGATTATGAAAAGTGGATCAACAATGTGAAACTCAGATTAGAAACCTAGGCTAAGTAATCTAAATCATAAGCTACTTATTCAACTCATGAGTTTGAAGAGTAAAATGTATTAATATTTCTTTAGATCTATGAAACTAGATAATGAGAATATTTTTAGCAAAATTCTGAAAAATTCTGCTTCTGATCTTTCAATCTAAAAAGAAAAAAGTGGTTTGCCTTCTGTCTCAATTCAAAAGGAAGCTTGCTTTGTATTGTTAATTGCAATAATGATCATTATTATGTTGATCTAAATAGCTATGATGAGCAACCAATCAACAAGGCTTGAATAACTAGAGTATATACTTTTGCAAAATTAATAATAAAGATTTTAATTATTGAATGATCAATTATGAGTTGTTATTTCAATATTATTATTATTTCGTATTATCAAATTTTCTTATTGGAAATTTAACTCTTTTTAAAAATCACTTTATAGATTTTGAAAGTAATATCTAATAAAGTTGACTAATCCTTGGTATAACTTTAAGAACTCTTTGTATCTCTATAGTATAATTATCTCCTCAAACACTTTTTATTTTGATTTTATATTTTAGATATTTTCAGATCATTTAAACCCATTAACTTCTACAACTACTGAATGATTTTCATAAATTCACATGAACAAATTATGCAGATATTCTATGAATATCGTAATAGAATTAAGTAAGCAGAAAAAATAAAATACCAAAAACTTATTAATAAACCAATTGATTTAAGTAACCCTAATCTTATTAGAGATTCAAAACTTTCAGATCCTGCCAAAATTATATTCTTTTCTATTTTGTAGATCCATGATATAGGAGTGGATTTTTAATAACAAAACTAAGAATTTTCATTAATATTTATTAAAACAAGCTTAATTTTAACAGGATGAGTCAATTTCAAGTAAATCTCATAAATTTGTCAAACCCTCACGATTAAACCATTTATAGTTATAACACAAGTACACTTATTGTAGATTTGCATCAATAATTAGCTCAAAAGAGTGATCATGGCAATGTTTAAATCTATTTTACCCAAAATTAACCTTTCAAAGGAAACCTAAATCGTTATTTGCATTAAAATATCAAAGAATCTTCAATATATTACAATTTAAATGTTTCATAAATATAAACGCCATCTGTGCAATCTTTGATGAATACTTAAGAGAATAAAAAGTAATTAATAATTTCAGGATTATAAAATCAGAACTCATCTTAATCAATTTTAGGATCTTCATACCAATCAAAATCAGAAAAATTATGCTAGACAGATGATGAGTCATTTTTATAAAGTAATGGCAACTAATAAATGTAATCATATTTTATTCTAATTAGAAATCAAGAGCAAATTTATTAATTATAATCCAAAGTCTAAGATTTAAATGCTATTTTAAAACAAAAAGAAGAAGAAATGTAAAAGACTATGTATGAAAATGAAATTTTATCAAAAGACTTATAAAATTAGAATGAAAAAAATAATTAAATCATCTTGGATTTAAATAGATAAAACGACGATTTGAAAGATTAATTGACCCAATTATCAAGGAAGGCACAACTCGACGAAAAGAATATAGAGAATTTAAAAACTCAGATTGAATAACTGAAGATTGAAAATGAGTCCAAAAATATTATAACTCATTAAATAATGTAACTAAATGATAACCATTTCTAAAAATAGTAAGGACTTGCGGAAATTCAACAAGAATAAAATTAACTCTAATCACAAAAAAATGAAATAGATTTATTGTCATTTAATGATACTGTAGAAACTTATAAAAATAAATGTGGACATATGATAGAAAGGAACAAATTAGAAAACTTATTGATTTATGCTGTGAAGAATAAATAAATTGTAAAATGTGAAACTTGCAATTCTAATTTTTCTTCCTCTATTTGTTAGGATATTGGCATGATTGGTTAAAATTACTTAAAGTTAAAATCCACTTTAGAATTATCTGAAATGTAAAATAGTTTTAAGGCACTTTAAAAATCACATCTAAATGTAGTTACTTGTGAAAATAGGAGCTGTAATTTTTTTTGTGTTTATTAAACTGCAAATCAATATTCCGATAGTGATTATAGTTATTGTCCAAATTGCTTGGGAATGTTTGTTAAGAATCCTCAAGAAGTGCCTCAAATTATAAATCTTTGAAATAAAATTAATTTTATATCATAAATAGTATATCTATATATAATTGCAATTGTAATTAAGAATTAATAAATAAAAATTAATAATAACTATCTGTTAATGAACGTAAACTATTGCAGTCCTAATTTCCAATTTGAGAATAGACCTCCTCTCAAAGATTATACCTCTAATATTGACAATATTAAATAAGCCAAAAATAGAATTGCTGAGCTACAAAACATAATCCATGAGTTAAATAAATCTAATGGAAAAAGGTCTGTCTCTCCATTAGCAAAAAGTCCTGTTAAAGTCAATGTTCCAATTGAGTACCATGGTACTTCCAAAAAGCAGAGTCCAAAATTTTAAACTCCTGAAACAAAACAAAGAGAAATAAGAGTTGTAAGTGAAAATGTCAAAATGCAAACAGAAAACATTATCGAACAAGGAATCTTACAAGGTGTGTTACCTGACCATTTACTTGAAAAATCAATTGAAAATTACACCTTATCAAAAGTGCTTGGATTAGGTTCCTATGCTATTGTAAGATTGGCATAAAAAGGATCATAATTTTGTGCTATTAAAACATATGAAAAGGTTAAAATTAATGATTAATAAAAACGTAAAAATGTTTCTAGAGAAGTGAAGATATTATCGAAATTAAGACATCTCAACATCATCAAATTGGTTGGAGCTTGTGAAACCCAAGTACAATTGCATGTCATTATGGAATATTACAGTGCAACTTCTTTAAATTCTTTCATTAAATAGCAACCTCAAAAGAAGCTTGATGAAGATGAAGCCAAATACATCTTCATCTAAATTGTAGATGCCTTGAAATACTGCCATCACAAAAGTGTAGTGCATAGAGATCTCAAATTGGAGAATATACTTATTGATCCATAGAATAAAAAAATTAAAATTATTGATTTTGGGTAAAATGATTCTTATTCCTTACTCTAGATTTTCAATAGCTATTGACCCTGCAAGTAAACTTAACATATTTTGTGGTACTCCATCATATATGGCACCTGAAATAGTTAATAAATCAACCTATAGTTTTCCTGCTGATGTTTGGGCTTTGGGGATATTGCTATTCAAAATGACCACAGGGTAATTTCCATTTAGAGGAAACGATGACAAAGATTTATATAGATCAATTAATAGTGGAAAGATAGATTATCCTTAATCTATGTCTATCCAATTAAAAAATTTAATCAAGAAAATCTTGAATACTAACTAAAATGAACGACCTTCAGTCAAAGAGGTAGCTTTAGATGAATGGCTTTAATGATTTTAAAATACTTATTATTTAATATATCATTTACTTATATTTTAATTCTAAGTTATTTCTAATTAATCAAAGCCATTCGATATCTGATTTTAGTCTTATTCTGTAGAATAATTTTTTTTATGTGTTGCTTTTATAGTTTCAGGAATAAACATTTAAAAATATATTCTCAAATATTAAAATATCTCTATTTTCTATAGTAATAATGAATCTTATCTAAAATCCTTTTAATCTTCTAGTCAAGTCTATTCTCTAATTAAAATGGGAATAAATAAAATTAATTTTTGTTTATATTTATCCAAAACTATTCTATTTTCATTTCCACATTTTCATAATAATCGAATTATTAGCAAAATGCCATCATTTTGGATTAACTGAACTTTATTCTAATATTAATGCCTTGATTCTTCAATTTTGAAGATGTATTGGTTATTAAATTTAAAGTCGACACTGCTCAATTTTTGAAGTATAATATATTTACGATTTAATAGATAGTTCTAATTGTTATTAGATATTGAATTTATATTTTTTATTTAATATTTTACTTAGACCTAAACAGTTCTTCGGTTTTTTGCTGTCTATAAAAGTAGAATACATAAGTTAAATTAACAATATTTTATTTACATCAAATATTATTTTATGGGAAAGGCTCACAAACAAAAAGGATATAGATTGGAGAATACAATTTCAAAGAAAGGTTTTCTTGAATTAAGAAAAATGCTTGGAATGCCATAATTTGAATTGGCGCATGATAATAGCAACATTATGAAAATCCAAGCGCGCTCACTAAACATTGATGACGATGAAAAATGGAATAATTCATATGTAATGTTTTTACTTATTTATTTAGAAACCCATGCCTGAAGTCAAAATATAAAAATATCTCTTGCATTGTTAGAACTGCGATCAATCAATTATTTCTTCTTTGAATAAAGTTGATCGTTTTCTAAGTCAATAAGGAAGACTTAAAACTATTGGATAAAGCAAAGAAGAAGAAAAACAAAAAAAATAGAATAGTTTAAGTACTGAAGTTTAGTATTCGAATAAAAAAAGCTTGAATTGAATATGAAAATTATTTATAATTGCCTCTAAACCAAACTTAAATTTATTTTTATTTGTTTATCCATCATTTATGGGATGTATTTTCTACACTATTATTAGTAAATTTAATGAGAGAAATCCATCCTTGCACTCAATTTTGTGCTTTAAGCGTATTGTTCATCTTTGTAAACTATAAGTTCCAAAACAAAACAAAACTTTATAGAATTTATATAACCCAACTTAAAATTCTAATAAAAAATAATTCATTAATATTTCTTACTATCTCGAATATGAGAATATGAAAAAAGTTTCTTTAAAATAATTGGAAATGAAATGAATATAAGTATTATTGCACAATTACCTATCAATTTTAATTTAGATGCCAATATTCTTGTTGTAGATCCAATTANTTAAAAATATATTCTCAAATATTAAAATATCTCTATTTTCTATAGTAATAATGAATCTTATCTAAAATCCTTTTAATCTTCTAGTCAAGTCTATTCTCTAATTAAAATGGGAATAAATAAAATTAATTTTTGTTTATATTTATCCAAAACTATTCTATTTTCATTTCCACATTTTCATAATAATCGAATTATTAGCAAAATGCCATCATTTTGGATTAACTGAACTTTATTCTAATATTAATGCCTTGATTCTTCAATTTTGAAGATGTATTGGTTATTAAATTTAAAGTCGACACTGCTCAATTTTTGAAGTATAATATATTTACGATTTAATAGATAGTTCTAATTGTTATTAGATATTGAATTTATATTTTTTATTTAATATTTTACTTAGACCTAAACAGTTCTTCGGTTTTTTGCTGTCTATAAAAGTAGAATACATAAGTTAAATTAACAATATTTTATTTACATCAAATATTATTTTATGGGAAAGGCTCACAAACAAAAAGGATATAGATTGGAGAATACAATTTCAAAGAAAGGTTTTCTTGAATTAAGAAAAATGCTTGGAATGCCATAATTTGAATTGGCGCATGATAATAGCAACATTATGAAAATCCAAGCGCGCTCACTAAACATTGATGACGATGAAAAATGGAATAATTCATATGTAATGTTTTTACTTATTTATTTAGAAACCCATGCCTGAAGTCAAAATATAAAAATATCTCTTGCATTGTTAGAACTGCGATCAATCAATTATTTCTTCTTTGAATAAAGTTGATCGTTTTCTAAGTCAATAAGGAAGACTTAAAACTATTGGATAAAGCAAAGAAGAAGAAAAACAAAAAAAATAGAATAGTTTAAGTACTGAAGTTTAGTATTCGAATAAAAAAAGCTTGAATTGAATATGAAAATTATTTATAATTGCCTCTAAACCAAACTTAAATTTATTTTTATTTGTTTATCCATCATTTATGGGATGTATTTTCTACACTATTATTAGTAAATTTAATGAGAGAAATCCATCCTTGCACTCAATTTTGTGCTTTAAGCGTATTGTTCATCTTTGTAAACTATAAGTTCCAAAACAAAACAAAACTTTATAGAATTTATATAACCCAACTTAAAATTCTAATAAAAAATAATTCATTAATATTTCTTACTATCTCGAATATGAGAATATGAAAAAAGTTTCTTTAAAATAATTGGAAATGAAATGAATATAAGTATTATTGCACAATTACCTATCAATTTTAATTTAGATGCCAATATTCTTGTTGTAGATCCAATTATAATAAAAATACTCTAATATAATCATATTTACATTTTTGTTTTATTGATTAATTTAGAATTAAGATAAAAATACGATGGAATAAATGGTAATAACACAAATATGCAGTATTCTTAAATTCTAAACAATTCTATCTTTAGTATTTTCTTTAAGATTGCATCATTCTACCTTAAGGCTTCTTTTAATTTAAGAATGTCCGCCATATTATAAAAGGGCAGGATAATTCATCTAAGAGAATAAAAATTAAAATTTAACTAAACAAAGTAGAGTAGATATGATTCAAACAAAAAATTAAGTACAATAATATCAATGAAATAAATTATAAAAATAAATAATGTTATAAAATATTAGGAAATAGATTATTTAGATGATGTCCAAAATTTATTTTAGATGAGACTTATTAGAAATTATGATTCCATGGTTTATTCTTATATAATACATATAAAATAGAATTAATCGACTAGAAAATATATAATTTCATGGCTGCACTTTAATAATGGATAGTAATTTAATAGTAGAGGGCATTCAATCTCTTATTGGAATAGAACTTTCTTATACTTTTCATATAAGCAGAGGACTAAGCACTTTTAGAATTAAAATAATTACATAAAAATAGTATAACTTATAAAACTATTAATTCAGGAATTAATTCTATACATGAATATTAATTAAATATAAGAACTGTTGAACATCAATTAAGTTACAGAATTCTGAGTAAATTAAATGTATAAATAATATTATTAATCATAATAATGTTCATAAAGTGAATAAGCAACGGTTTGTACTTGTAATTTATCTATATTTAGAATAAAGTATTTTAGAATTACAATAAATTTTATTTGATGTTCCATTACAGTAGTACTTGACATAGTTTACTGCTAATAAAACTGCATTTTAATGTTAGGTTTTGCAAAGCATTTGATAGTCTGAACTTTTAATCATAAGAAAAATAATTATGACGAGAAAATGTTTTTAATTGCTTCAACTGAAAGTGACTTTCAATTAGTAATCTATTCAATAGTTTTTAATTTATTAAGCTTTAGATGAAGTTGAATTGATCATCTGATGTAATAAATAAATTACGAATGTTATTTAGATTTTATTATTTATATTTAAAATTATGGATAATCTTTATGCTTAAGAAATAAGATAGCGATATCATTCATCTATGACTTACTAAGAATACTTGGATACTTATGATAAACCTCCTCCTAAACCTTAAATTAGGTATTCTGCTAAACCATTATTAATTTAAGACCCAAAGAAACTCCTTAATTACTCGAACCATTAATTTTAGAAGGACATAAAGGTCCTAAAATTTAATAATAGAAATTGACTGTTTATTCTCCTGACGATGTAATTTTTGAGGAATCTGAGAATGATGAGAAACCCAAAGTTCTAAATCACATATCATGTTAAAGAGCATTAAAAGAACATGTATAAAAATAATAAACTTAAGAATGTTAGAATAAGAAGCTAGAGCGAGAATTTAGGATTTTCAGTATTTCGATTTTTGCAATAAAAGAAAAATAAATTCCCATGATTCATTAATTTTTAAACATTGATTTCTTTCAACACTTCTCTAAAGTTGATTGCCTACTAACAACATTATTTTTTAGCACTCTCAATAAATTAAATATTTCAATTTTGATGTATTAGAGATTTCTGAGGATAATGATACAAACTCATAATGTAGACAGTTAAAGAATAATCTTAATAATTTAATTGGCTATAGAAATTTTCAAATTAAAAAAATAATAACATTAATATTACTCTCTTCTAATAACATAATGTTAATACATTCCATTAATCCCTTTTTATAATTTAAGTTATTTACTTTATAATTTCCACATAAGTTAAAAGAATTAATCAATGAAGATAGTCTATATGTATTTTAGATGAATATTGAATACTCAAAGCTATAGACTAAACTCAATATATTAGAAATATGTCTTCTAAGAATAGTATTAAAAATTAAAAATTGGTTATATATTTTTATTTAATTAGAGATTCTTGTATTATTTAAATCATCTCAATCTCCTTCATTTTCTGAGTCTTCTCCTAAGACTCTTTCTAATTCTGACTTTACTTTCTTTAATTGGTGATTTTAAGGAATGAAAGAATTCACTCTTGCAAGCTTCTTCTCTTTTTCTTTATCTTTCTCCTTTTCATTCTTCTCTAATTTTTGATTAATTAAATCATTATTATTGATCAATTAAACCATTATGTTTATTAAAGTGATAGTTAAACCACTACAGGAATAAAATATTTTGCTGATCTTTTTATTTAATCCAAACAATTTTAATCTTCTTAATAACATCACTATTCTAAGCGATGTAACTATAAAATTAAGTTATTTGATTCTTCTTTTTTATCTACTATTTATTAAACTGTTAGCACATTAAACTGCAATTGCATCTTCTTATATCAGTTTATCTGGTATTTCCTTGATTTCTTTGACTAATTCCATTTCCTTATCATAAATAATCTTATAATCAAAAAATGATTTTAGTAGTTTTAACAAAGCTTTTGCTAATGAGAATGAGTCTTTATATCCTTTTATGGTTGATTTAGCTTTCAAAGAAACAATTTCACTATGAATTTATTTAAATTTCTTACTTCAGAACACCAATGTTAATCCCCCAAATAATGTGATCCATTATGTAATAAAAGAAATTGCATACATGCATAATAGAGGTTGTGATTTTATAATATTTTGGTTTATTTTTAGCATGGATGTTGCTCAAACATCTAATGGAATCAAAGAATTTTAAGAATTTGAAAATCTTTCTTCCATTTTTCATAGACTCTCTAATTCGAGATGCTATTTTTTTAGAAAACATATCAGAGGATGCTGCTTAAATTTCAGGAATATTTGAAAATTTAATGCAAGCTTCGTATAAATCTGCTAAATACTAAATCAAACAACAAATCTTATCCCTCCCTTTTGTCGTTTACATGAATAAGGACACGATTGAAACCTTATCATATAAGTTATAATTTCATTACTTTTCTAGCAACATACTACCCAGCCACAATTGTATTGTTGGCTCTGTGTTAAATTGCCACGTTAAAATAATCAGCTAAGTCCTTAACAGAAGCAATGCTTCTTTTCATATGATGATTAATTTAATAAAGTTAATTAAAATTTAAATTATGCAATTTTAATGATATTCTACCTTTAGATTGAGTACTATGTTATTCCATCAATTTAAAACATAATTTTATTCAATTAAATAATAAAAGCATCATTTTAGTCTTCTATTTTTGAATCAAATCTTTCATCAATCTAAGACCTTTAAACCTTTTAGAATTATTTTCAATACAGAAAAATATAGATCGTTGTCATAAAAAAATTACATTCTATTTTTTCAACATCTTTCTATCAAAATAAAAAGAACGATGATAATTACATTTTTCTAAATTTATTGATTCTCATCAATTAAGTTTATATCTGAATTATAGATTAAATATATGATAATCAATTGAGTTCACCTTTAAGTAATTAAAACTACTTTAATCTGATTACTTACTTAAAGGTTTTATTCAAATTAATATCAAAAATAGCCAAATTTAGTTTGTAATCTTTAAGAATTGAAGTATCACTCTTATTTGAGATGAATAATAGACAATTACGTAGTTTATAATTTTACAATAAATAAATAAATTCATAAAAATGCACTAACTGGGGAAATCTGGAAAGTCAAAGAGTTTTAAGGATTATTCAATACTAAAAAAAGTATAATCATTATCGAGACACGATGATACGGATACAGACAAAACTAGTTTATTGAAATAGAAAAGTTTTGATTTAACTACTAGAAGGAATAGTTCAATTTTAGCATAAACTTTGGTTTATGAATCGAGTTAAATCCATCGAATCACATATATTCAAGAGTATGTTAAATATCAATCATTAGTCCCAATCAATACATAGGAATGAATTTACTCTAATAGAAGATTTGGGAGAGGATATAGAAATGTTCATAAAAATATATTGTATTCAACATAAAGCTATATCATAGGATGATTAAAGTAATTTATCAATTATCGTGTTGAAGCCAGATCAAGAATATGAGTTTGCGTTCAACATATCTAAATTGTCCTGTTTTTCAAAAATTAAACAATTAACTAAGAGTTTGTCGAGTCATTTCTATGGACTTACTAAAATTTGTAAGTAGTTCATCATGAATTTTTAGAATTGTAAGACCCTTATTTATCAATGCTAATAGGAAAAATCAAAACATAGAAATTAGACAACGATATGAGATTATTTGAGTTGTTAAATATCATTATGAACGGTAAGAAGCTATTGGTCTTGCAAAGTAATATGTATAGTGAAGTTTGAGTGTAAATTGTTGTCTGTTTACTTTTTATTGATAATTTTATTTAATTATAATTTATATATATATAAGTCTTTTAAATCAAAGAGTTCAGAAATCTTCATCATCAGTTTCTTAACCAGAATCACAACTTAATGTTTCATTTTCCCAAGGGTCAGATTTCTTTGGATGAATCATAGTTATTTAAGGTCTAGTTTGAACCATCATTACGAGAGAATTCTGATCATAATTATATTCATTCTCAAGGTTAAAGTAATCTTCGTAATCTAATTCTGTTTATTAATTTTGATATGGTATGTCATCATTATCATCAGAATAAACTTATTTTTATTCCTCAGTTTCTATTTCTATTGCATTTTATTTAAAATTTTAACTCTATTTTATGAGTTACCTTAAGTATCCCATTTTTTGATCATATAACTATTCAATTGGCTAGATTTCTTTTGCTTTTCTAAATATTTATGTTATTCAATACTTTATCAATTGGTAATAATCTTCTAAGGTTTTTTTAGGAATTCCTACTTCTTCTGCTGCCTATTAAAGTGTTAGCTTTTTAAGTTTTCCTTAGTTATCCACTTTGCCATTTGCAAAAAGATGTCTCCATTCTTCTACTTTTTCTACTGCCATTTAAACTGAACGCTCTTTTACTCTTTTAAACATAGCCTAGAATTTTCTTTAACTTTATTACATAATTAATTAATTTATATTAAAGTAATAAAGAAAATTTTTGATAAATATTCTATAATCCTGATTATGATAAAATATATATAGTATTATAAAAAGTATGTCAAAATAATTAATAAGAGTCTTCAAAGTAATTCTATTAATTTTTTGTTTGGTTGGCTTCTAATTAATCATAATATGAATGATCACTAAATTATCCAATAGTTTCAATTTGACTGTATGAACTAACTTAACCATGAACATAAAATTCCTATTTATCAGCTATCTATTTCATTCTGTTCAAATGAGAATCATGTTTTTATTATGAAGGTATTTTGAGCTAGTTCAGAGTCTATTCAATTAAGTTTGGATCGTAAGAGGATTAAGCTAATGCAATGATGGGTTTTGGACATAGTGATAGATTTGAAAATGGAGTGTAGTTCTCTTTTTATGAAACGAAGTATTATTATCCTCTTTTAGAAATTCTAACTTTTGTGGACATTGACAAATATAATAACAAAGATTGTTAACAGATATTTTTAATATTAAATTTTATTGAATAAATCTATCTATCTATCAATTATACATACTAACCTACATTAATATAGCCATTTAAATATAAAGTTCGTATAATTTCTATTTACAAAACTAAAATACTTATAGTAATCATCATTTTTCAACATTTTTATCATCTTCTGATCTTAAATATTCTCCCAAATCTGCTTGATTAAATACCACAACAGCAGTTGGATCTAAATCTTTGCATTACAACGTTGATCTTGAAGCTACACCAAAACCTAAAGGATTCTCTTACAAGGAGAATAAGATAACATTAGCATACTAGGGAATATTTTCAGACATTTTTGCTAAATGTGCTATAAACGAAGATAATTTATTAAATTACCCTTAATTACATGATTTCCATAGAGATAAGATTGTTCTCCACTAGGTTTTAACCAGACCTTATGTTTAGCATATTTGGCCAAAATCTCTAAACAAGTGATGTTCAATCTAAATTTTTTTGTTTTTGTAAATTTCCCAAAGTATGTTCCAACACTTAGATTAATTTAATTTATATACTGTAGTAATTCGTCTTTTCCAACATTGGTTGCCCAATTTGCAATTTACAAAGACATATAATATACTTTATTCTTGATCAATCTAAAAACATGAGGATCCTCTTCATTTTCAATTAATAATTTAATATTTGCTCCAATATATTCTCCCAATTTTTCAAAAAATATTTTGGTTTCTTCTTCATTTAATTACCTCATAATAAATTATTTAATAAATTAATTATACAAAAACATTATTTGCATATCAAATTAATTTATGGAGGATAATAGTTGGAATAATGACTTTTAAGTAAAGATTTATAATTAGATAATATATAAATTGTTATGAAATCAAACACCTTTGTATAAAGTTTTTCATATTTTGAATTCATTGAAAAGTTTATCCAATTCTTAAAAATGTCTTTGTATCAAAAACAAAGATTATTTATATCTTCCCATATAAAATTATTAATTTAATGAATCATATTAAACACATTTTTCAACGCACTTCTGATCCTAATCTAAATGCTCATAAATATATTCTATTTAATAATAAAATCATTAATTACATTTATATTATTACTGTACATTCAATCTTTGATTATTCTCAATATTATTTATTGGCATAATATTCTTGATTTCTTTAGTAATCTCTTCTATCTATAGCTTCACAATGTCGTAATCTTTTTCTACAATCCTCTAAGCATTTCTGACCATCTCTAATTTATTCAAAACATCAGCATATCTCTTCTCCTTTCCTTTTTTCTATCTTTCAAGTTCTTCAATTTCTCGTTCTAAATCTTCTTAATTTTTCAATTGCTATTCAAATTTACTCTACAACCTTGAATATTGAAGTTAGAGTTCCTCCAAAGCATTCCTTCTCAATTCTGGAGAAAAATTCAAGCCATTGAAGTATACCTCTGTTGGACTTGAATACTATTTGATATTTTAATCTAGCACATTGACTAGATCATACAATTTTTCGTTATGTATTTCCACTGATTTTGTACCAGCTGGCTTAAATAATTGTCTAAGCTTTTTTGCTTGATCTTGATCCTTCTTATAATACTCACTTAAGTCTTCTTCTTCTCCAAGTGATTTTTGTTAATTGATCTTTTCATTCAGATTTTCTAATTCTTTATTTTATTCCTCAATAGTTTACTTCAACTTTTTTAAATTGATAATCTTCTTCTATAAAAAAGTGGAATCTTATTCATTGATTTGATATTCTATAATTAATGATTTTAACATTCTCTCCTCATTGTTGAGATTCTCCAAATCATTCTTCTTTTCCATATAGAATTCATGTAGATGATTTCTTTTATTCAACAAATTGCTCATATAATCAGCTATTTAACTATCATTATTGATAGTGGAATTAAATTTATTTAGAAAGTTTTCGAGATCTTAATTCAAAGACAATTAGAGACATTTATCTACTTAGACCTAGAATTCATTGTGTTATTTAATTAGTTTGTCTAAATTTAACCTAGAAAAATAATCTAAAGCTAAATTAAGTTGAGCTAACTCGGATTGGATTGGCAACCAATTTTGAACAGTTTCTAGCCCAAATTAATCGGTGTCATTGTAAACTATATCTTACTCTAAAAAGTAATTAATTTCGAAATCATCCACTTCGACTTCAAAAATTTCGAAGCTGTTATTATTAATCGTTTTTTATGGAGGAGTGAGAGCAATAAAAACACAAATGATTAGAAATATACTTAGGCAATTTGTCTTATTAACTAAAGAATCAGTTCTTATCATTTTTTTTTTTAATTTATTATTAAATTATAGTTGTTTGCGAATTATTTAATATTACTAAGTTGATCTAGTTCATAAATTGATTATTAATTATTTTATAATTGGATTAATACATAAAATGAACTTGCCTAATAATTCATGAAAAAATAATTACATTTCAATTCATTGATGTTGATATTAAGTAGTTTTGATAAAACTATTTACTAAGTTGGATTGCCTTGCATTATTAAATATTCTTAAAGTTGTGATATACTACTTATTTGTTTATTAGCAGATGTAAAACTTTGTATACATCAATATTAAATCCAAATTTGTTTTAGAGAACATAGAACAATTGAAAGTTGCATAAAATAATTAGTGCTGTTGTTTAGTTTGAGATTACCTCAAATAATTCTAGAGAGAACTTTGATTGATATTCAAACAACTGGACGAAATTACATTAACAATTGTTTATAAAACTAATATTAATTGGATGAGTCAGAATATATAAATAAAGTAGATATACACACATTGATTTGTATATGCACATCTAACTCTCTAGGGCTGTAAACTTGAATTATTTTATTATTATAATATTACATTAAATCCGTTTTATTGAATGGAGAAGTCTGAGAGGCGATCGTTAGGAGGGACAGTCACAACATTGAGATCATCTAGAGGTGCTGTATTGGTGAACCAGGATGGATCCTATGCATATAGTTTAAAGCATGTTTATTTTAGTTTGTCCAATGAAAAATGAATCAATAGTATAAAATGAGAAGTTAATCTAAGAGCCGCAATAAATCATGTTACCAGTGTTTGGAGATGATGAACTGGCATTTTACATCAACCCTTAGGATTTACCTGAATTGGTTGATGAAGTTTTAGACACTTATTTAACACATTCGAGAGTGTTTCTGGTTTTTATGTGTGTGTAAATGATTGTGGAAATCATCTTTGATTCTATGGTTTGGATTAATTAGGATAGAATTGAAAAACTAGTAAGTCTTTCAGAATTTACATAAGCTAGCTCTAATTTACAATAAAGTGCCTTTGGCTGATATCCATCAAATGATAATCCTATGCTTTTGCATTAACATTCTATTCTAATGCATATATTATGCATCAGGAATTACAGGTGCAATGCGTAAGTCTTACAAAACACTTAATGTCTTTGGAAATTTATCAATTTTAGGAATGTTTTTACAAATATTTCTATCTTACACTTATCAGTATTATGTATATTGACACTTAGATTCAATATTTTGGTATTTGCATTCAGAGTGCTATCGTGCATTTACGCAAAGTTTCTGAGTCACTTGATCCTCAGTTTGATCCTGTTACCTCATTGAAATTTATTATTAATATAAAAAACCTAATGAACAAGACTACCCTCATTTTACTTATTCTGTATTTAATAAAAAATTACAAATTCTATTTATTTATTATTATCTAATAAAAATATATTGATAGAATATATAATATTTAAATAGCTTTCAATATTCAATTAAAAAGATTTTCATCAAGGAACTTTGATCATAAGTTGAGAATTATATCAATTAGGGATAAAAATATTATTATATAACAAATTATCTACCTATTAACTTATTTGCAGAAATCAAAAGTAATTATTATTATTGAATAATCATTTTGGTAGAATTAGATATGATATTATCAAAAATTATAGATAGATCATTATTAAGATTGTTCAAATTATTCCAATCCTGCTAAATGAATGTTGTTGTCAACACTTATAGCATCTACTAACTGTAATATATTATTATTATATATCTCCCTCAAAACCATTTAGCCATCTTCTTAAGGCATTTCAAAAACCTTCGTGTTTGGGGATTATTCATCGTCAACTGTAATTTTAAATAAACTAATATATATATATTGTTATGTTACTCATCTTCATAGAAAACTTCAATGTAATACAATTTATCGTCTATTTTTTTATTTTATTTATAAAGCACAATTTTTCTCTACTGTTAATTGTTTGGAGTAAAATTTGTCTATGTTGGCAAAAAACCCATAAAACTACTCTCTTTAATGATGGATGATATATACTTGAGAGATCTACACTCTTTTGTCTATTGGAACTTTGGATTCTAGACCTTTTGAGTGGGTATTCAGCTATCTGTTGAGCTAACTATTATTATTTTGAGGTTTGCTTCAAAATAATTTTGGTATTGTAATTTGGTTTTTTGGTAACCAGTCTATTCATTAATCTTTAATTTTCGATGGTAATTCTGACCAACTCTTTTTTCCTCTTCTCCTTATTGAGTGATTACTTCCTATTGACTGATTAAGATTAATTAAAATTAGAGGCTGTCATATTATTGTTCTACCAATTGGAGGAGGCTCTTTTGCGTTCATTATCTAGACATAGATTGGAATAGTACTCATGATATTTTGAATCTTCTCTAGTAAGATACGATTTTCCCTTTCAATTTCAGTAAATCTCTCTTCTTATAATTAGAGTTTCTTATTTTAGTTTTATGATAACCTTTCCATTTAAGTTCTAACTGTTAATTGTTTTTAAGTAATATACTTAAAGGATGTGCTATCTATAGATTGTGTTTATGAATTTATCTTAATCGTTCTTTTTCATAATTATAGCATATTTTATTTCCTTTAATAAGATCTCTATCCATTGAATATTTAATATAATAAAAAAATTATTTTGTTTCACATTATTTTACAAGAACAACATTTTGAGTTTTATTAATCAATTTCTTGAAACTGTTCGTGTATCCGATATTCTACTTTAATAATAGATTACCTTTCATTTTAGAATTATTATAAAACTCTTTGGAATTATTATCAATACTAAAATATTCAGATTCTTTAACACTTTAAGTACGTTTCGTAAGAGTTTGTGGTCTTTAATTGTATTAGAACTCATCGTTAGGTTAATTGTTTTAAGCCTTAGTGTTAATGGGAGGCCAGAAATTGACTAGATTCGGATGTTGTCCTCCATATTTGATTTCGATCTCTTCGGCTGGAATTAATTCTTGCAATTTGTAGAAATCTGAAGCTTTGAGGAAATTGATTTTGGCAGCAGTCTCAGGGTGGATGATTTCTATGTATAGGATTTGAAACTACTTTCAATTAATTTCCAGGAGGAGTTGAAGAAGAAGGAAGGGTTCAAAATAAACATCTTATGCAATGAACTAGTGTAGTTTATTGAAAAGAATTCGTTGATCATACTGAGAGTGGAGAATGGGAAATCAAATAATCCACTACCACCACTATCCAATATGACTATCCAATTTTCAACGTAACCACGAGTATACATAAACTTGGTTACTATGTTCCCAATAGCTGTTGCTGCATTTAAAAGAGTGGGTACGTGAAGTTTGTTTTTCGAAATCATATGCAATTAAATATAAACAACAGGTCGGTATTGGTGATCTCTTCCAAATTGATAGATGTAGCCTTGTTTCTAAATTGAATATTTATTAATTGAAACCAAATATTATTCAGCCTCTGGAGACAGGACCTGATAATTGTCGTCATTTATCCACTCCAAATGTTTTTGTAACCTCTGAATGCATTTGCTGATTTCAAAGCCTCCTGAATAACAATATTTGAGAGTCAACTCTTGGCACCAACTAAAGCTTTAAAATGATATTACTCAGGAGGCAATGCTAATTTGTGTTATTGGATACTCGCCACCAACTCCTTTATTTTTTGTTTTTCATAATCATCAAATTCTTGGTGAAAGAATATTTTTCTAACGTGATTCTTCCCTTCTCCATGCTTAATATAGAATGCTAATGGATAAGAGATCTTAAATTACGATCATGTTTGATTTAATACACATCAGCTGGAGGTCGCAGATAACTAAAATCAATCATAAAATATTAATTTTTTATATAAAATGAATTCTTAACATATTCTCAAAATGCGTATGGTTTATTTTTCTTCTATTTTTTTTCTCTGTATTTCCCCTACAATTTTCCAATATCCTTATCAAAATTGCTATTGTAGATTCTAGATAGTTCTTTCATATCCAAATTACTAAGATTCTGCTAATCCTCTATTTCTTTTTCATCCTAACTTGAAGGCAAGTCATGGTCAAACAATATCGTAGTCCATCCCTTCGACTTGATTTGACCAGGTCTCACATAATGTCCACGAAATGTTCTTAACTTTTATTTTTCAGTTGGCGTTATCCTTGCATGTGCCATTTTATTGCATACCTTATGGACTGACTTAGAAACCACATCATATCCCTGTAACACATGATCATTCTAAACATTCTATTCCACATCCTATACACTCTCTTGTACCTCTTTCTCAGGTTAATCCTTCTATTTCTTTGCAGCCTTCTTAATCAACATAGAATATTCTTAATTCTCCTGTAATGCTTGACATAAGTTATACAATTGATATTTCGATTGCCAATCGGANCTCTTCGGCTGGAATTAATTCTTGCAATTTGTAGAAATCTGAAGCTTTGAGGAAATTGATTTTGGCAGCAGTCTCAGGGTGGATGATTTCTATGTATAGGATTTGAAACTACTTTCAATTAATTTCCAGGAGGAGTTGAAGAAGAAGGAAGGGTTCAAAATAAACATCTTATGCAATGAACTAGTGTAGTTTATTGAAAAGAATTCGTTGATCATACTGAGAGTGGAGAATGGGAAATCAAATAATCCACTACCACCACTATCCAATATGACTATCCAATTTTCAACGTAACCACGAGTATACATAAACTTGGTTACTATGTTCCCAATAGCTGTTGCTGCATTTAAAAGAGTGGGTACGTGAAGTTTGTTTTTCGAAATCATATGCAATTAAATATAAACAACAGGTCGGTATTGGTGATCTCTTCCAAATTGATAGATGTAGCCTTGTTTCTAAATTGAATATTTATTAATTGAAACCAAATATTATTCAGCCTCTGGAGACAGGACCTGATAATTGTCGTCATTTATCCACTCCAAATGTTTTTGTAACCTCTGAATGCATTTGCTGATTTCAAAGCCTCCTGAATAACAATATTTGAGAGTCAACTCTTGGCACCAACTAAAGCTTTAAAATGATATTACTCAGGAGGCAATGCTAATTTGTGTTATTGGATACTCGCCACCAACTCCTTTATTTTTTGTTTTTCATAATCATCAAATTCTTGGTGAAAGAATATTTTTCTAACGTGATTCTTCCCTTCTCCATGCTTAATATAGAATGCTAATGGATAAGAGATCTTAAATTACGATCATGTTTGATTTAATACACATCAGCTGGAGGTCGCAGATAACTAAAATCAATCATAAAATATTAATTTTTTATATAAAATGAATTCTTAACATATTCTCAAAATGCGTATGGTTTATTTTTCTTCTATTTTTTTTCTCTGTATTTCCCCTACAATTTTCCAATATCCTTATCAAAATTGCTATTGTAGATTCTAGATAGTTCTTTCATATCCAAATTACTAAGATTCTGCTAATCCTCTATTTCTTTTTCATCCTAACTTGAAGGCAAGTCATGGTCAAACAATATCGTAGTCCATCCCTTCGACTTGATTTGACCAGGTCTCACATAATGTCCACGAAATGTTCTTAACTTTTATTTTTCAGTTGGCGTTATCCTTGCATGTGCCATTTTATTGCATACCTTATGGACTGACTTAGAAACCACATCATATCCCTGTAACACATGATCATTCTAAACATTCTATTCCACATCCTATACACTCTCTTGTACCTCTTTCTCAGGTTAATCCTTCTATTTCTTTGCAGCCTTCTTAATCAACATAGAATATTCTTAATTCTCCTGTAATGCTTGACATAAGTTATACAATTGATATTTCGATTGCCAATCGGATTCTAAAATAATCTTCTAATAGATTTCAGTCTTCTTATTCAATTCTATCGATTTCTTCAATAAAGGATGAGCCAATATTACCAACTCCTTATAATAACTTATACTAATCTATTTCAACTCATTAACATAATCCAAAAAAAACATAATTCTCCTGAATTGCCATCGCTTTAAGAAGTTCTTGTAAGTGTCATAATTCTCATAGTTCTCCCTCTTATCGAACTCCTTGTGAATTTTAGCATGCAACAATAACAATTACTCCAATTTCACAGCACATTATTTCAATTCCTAGAATATTGGATCATCTCCAATATCATTCACATCTACAGCTCTCAACATTATGTGAATAGACACATAGGATAAACGATAATTATCCTCGTCCAACCTTCTATATCTTGTCTTTTTATCGTGAATGTACATCTCCTAAAATAGTTTTATCGCTCCTCTCAACCACTTCGATATTGTTTTTGTGTATCTTCCTAAATACATTCTAAATTATCTATCACTCTATATACCTAACTCCTGTCTACTATGTAAAACTCTGCAAACCTCCTTTGTTGTTTCCTCTGCATTTAATCCCTGTTTCATACAGAACCTTTGTTTACTCCTCGCTCAGATTCTCCTTGTATCCAGTCAATGTTTCCCATCTCTTCCTTAACTTGTATGTTTAGTTCACTTGGATCCCTGTCGTTTCGAAGTACACTCTTGCAACTTTTGTCCAATGTCTACAATTCTCTCCCCCATGAGCATCAACTATTTATAAAAATTCTTTTTTAAACTACTAATCCTCATGAAACCCTCTTGTCATTTTTATTTTTGATATAGTAGTTCCAAAATTATCCTTTAAAAAAATTATCTCTAAATTTTCCAATGATTTTTCATCTCAATATTTATATATCCTAGAACTTCTTGCATCTTCTTAGCTACTAGAATCACTATGCATTCCAACATACATATCACTCCAATGAAGAATTACTCTATTAATTTATATTTATTCCTCATTTGAATAAATTTACTTGTTTATTTAATATAAAACTTTTCAGTTTCTTATGCATACCCATTGAAGTTATGTTTTGTTGAAAATACAAATTAAGCTCTCTCTTCCTTTTTAAAAAAATTGAAGAACCAATTCAATTAATGAATTGAACAACATGTAAAAGTAAGGACTCTACTTTTATTTATTATAAAAACTATTTCTATTGAAACTTAAGCTATCAATTTTTAAGACTATTTTGTTTAATCGAAAAATTATTTCAATAGTTTAAATTGTTAGGAATAACATATAGATTGCAATTTCCTTATTCATATGTTTTATCAATTATCTGAATACTCCTATCTTTTTTGACTATTTTGTAACTTTTTCTATTATTATATAATTCTCTAAATTTATTTCATTTATTCAGCATAATATGACTTTTAATCTATATGGTTTTACTTAGATATTCTTAAATTCTATTTTCTCTGTAAACTAAATCAGAGGGTTTGATAGATAAAAATTTCTAAAACATAAATTATATAATTCATTATTATATTATTTCATTAATAAAACTTAATTTAGTTGGATCAGGTTCAATATCATGTTTCTTTAAGATATCCAATAGCTCTTTTTTCTATCTTTCAAGTTCGTAAATTCGTTTATTGAAATGTGTGTTGATTTCAAACATATCCTAATACTTCTTCTCCAATATATCATACTATTGCACCTCTTTGACTCTATTTTACTATGATCATAATAAAGTTACTTCATATTGAACTTAGTCCTTGTGAATAACAATTTCTTTATTCAACATTTGAATTTCATCCATATTCTATCTTTTTGCTTCTAAGACTTTATTTATAATGGATTCCTTTTACTTAATGACTTCGTGGAGTTCCTTATTCTTTATTATTTTTTATATTAAAATACTTTTTATTTTGATCTTCCTAACATATCAACCAATTTTTAGACTTAATCTTCTGACTACTCCTTGCTTTTCAAAGCTTTTTCTCTAATTTAACTTTCCATTTTAAACAAAGAACTGTATGTATCTATGTCTTTTTTGATTTGCAAGAACTCATCCAGTAATTTTCCTGTCTATTGCTCGATATCCTTTTATTTAGGGAAGAATATATTGTTGTATCTATGGTTTTCTTCTTCAACGTCTTTAAGTTTTTCCCTTAGATTCTGGATTAAACTGAGACTACCCTTGGAATTCGCCATTAATTCATCGATTTCTCTAGTTTTCCTTGATAAATTAACTTCTAACTCTTCGATCACTTACTGCAATCTCTTAATTTCGACAAATTCATTAGATCTTTTAGTGACCTTCAACTCGTTCAATTACTTGTTTAATTTCTCATTTTCATCAACCANTATATATCCTAGAACTTCTTGCATCTTCTTAGCTACTAGAATCACTATGCATTCCAACATACATATCACTCCAATGAAGAATTACTCTATTAATTTATATTTATTCCTCATTTGAATAAATTTACTTGTTTATTTAATATAAAACTTTTCAGTTTCTTATGCATACCCATTGAAGTTATGTTTTGTTGAAAATACAAATTAAGCTCTCTCTTCCTTTTTAAAAAAATTGAAGAACCAATTCAATTAATGAATTGAACAACATGTAAAAGTAAGGACTCTACTTTTATTTATTATAAAAACTATTTCTATTGAAACTTAAGCTATCAATTTTTAAGACTATTTTGTTTAATCGAAAAATTATTTCAATAGTTTAAATTGTTAGGAATAACATATAGATTGCAATTTCCTTATTCATATGTTTTATCAATTATCTGAATACTCCTATCTTTTTTGACTATTTTGTAACTTTTTCTATTATTATATAATTCTCTAAATTTATTTCATTTATTCAGCATAATATGACTTTTAATCTATATGGTTTTACTTAGATATTCTTAAATTCTATTTTCTCTGTAAACTAAATCAGAGGGTTTGATAGATAAAAATTTCTAAAACATAAATTATATAATTCATTATTATATTATTTCATTAATAAAACTTAATTTAGTTGGATCAGGTTCAATATCATGTTTCTTTAAGATATCCAATAGCTCTTTTTTCTATCTTTCAAGTTCGTAAATTCGTTTATTGAAATGTGTGTTGATTTCAAACATATCCTAATACTTCTTCTCCAATATATCATACTATTGCACCTCTTTGACTCTATTTTACTATGATCATAATAAAGTTACTTCATATTGAACTTAGTCCTTGTGAATAACAATTTCTTTATTCAACATTTGAATTTCATCCATATTCTATCTTTTTGCTTCTAAGACTTTATTTATAATGGATTCCTTTTACTTAATGACTTCGTGGAGTTCCTTATTCTTTATTATTTTTTATATTAAAATACTTTTTATTTTGATCTTCCTAACATATCAACCAATTTTTAGACTTAATCTTCTGACTACTCCTTGCTTTTCAAAGCTTTTTCTCTAATTTAACTTTCCATTTTAAACAAAGAACTGTATGTATCTATGTCTTTTTTGATTTGCAAGAACTCATCCAGTAATTTTCCTGTCTATTGCTCGATATCCTTTTATTTAGGGAAGAATATATTGTTGTATCTATGGTTTTCTTCTTCAACGTCTTTAAGTTTTTCCCTTAGATTCTGGATTAAACTGAGACTACCCTTGGAATTCGCCATTAATTCATCGATTTCTCTAGTTTTCCTTGATAAATTAACTTCTAACTCTTCGATCACTTACTGCAATCTCTTAATTTCGACAAATTCATTAGATCTTTTAGTGACCTTCAACTCGTTCAATTACTTGTTTAATTTCTCATTTTCATCAACCAAAATCTCAATTTATAGTCTCAAACTTTAAACTTATTTTGAATTATTTGTAACCTATTTTAATGCAGCTGGATCTGTTGATAAATTGCAATAATTTAATAGACTGGTAATCAAATCATCATAGGTTTCTTTTAATAGATTAAGAAATATTCCGATCGAATAACTTTCTTCTTTAGATTCTAACTAATATCTCCAAACTCCTGGGATGGTTTCATTCACAAAGTCAATTTCTTTAAACTCCAATTTTTCACTCACTATTTGTCCTTTCGTCTATTTAGATTCAATATTGTTTAACAGTGCTTTGATCTAAGCATGAACAAAAGGTTCATTCCTTATATTCATATCCTTCCATAAGAGTAGTTTTCTATGTAACAGTGTTTTAACAAACTGTATGATTAGATTGTCCCTAAGATTTAAAGTTTTAAAGAGCAATTCAAAATAATTTGTGTCAGGAGTCAACTGATCCTTTATAGATTCTATGAACTTAACTTTTTAATAGAGAATCTTTTCCCAAAAAGGATCAGGATTTGTAATCTTTTCTTTCAAACCCATAGTATTTCTTGCAATGGTTATTAATTCAGATAATTCATAATTGATCAAATCAAGGAATCTTAAGAAATACCTTTTCTATTCCTGTAATTTCTCGGCACCATCCTTAACTTGAATTGAAGATGGATTCATGTTTTAGATATAATCTTACTAATTTCTAATTGCTGGAGCCAATTGATCAAATGCAACCTTCATTTTTTCTATGTTCTCTGATATGTGCTTCTTCTCATTAATTCCTTGTCTGGCATATGAGATTTATTGAACTATGGGTTTGATTGATTACATTAAATAAACTATTGTATTATTTAAATACTTAAAATTAATTTAAAACAAAAAAAGTAGGGAAGAGGATTACATCGAAGACTGGTTACGAGGGGAATCATGTTTATATGTTAAAATTTAACAATTGAAAGAGTGAATTTGATCAAGGATGACCTATATATTTGTTATAAATTAATATTTTAATTAATCGAAGAATGTTTAGAAGATTTTTGAACATAGCTGCTCTCCCTTTGATCAGATATAAGAAACCAATATTGGCTGCCAGTTTCATTAGTTTCACCTCGTTCTATTGCATTGAGGATAAAATAATATTGGAGGCAAGGAAAAAAATAGAATAAGACATTTTAAAGATGAAATCTTAATTTGGATCTGGAATCGAGTCTAAACCTGAGGCAGAGTATTACCCAGAAGTAAAGTAATGAAGCAGTGCTATTGTATAAATAGGTTTGGAACCAAGGGGAATAGATATTCAATCACTTTTGTAGCTGATCAGAGAATGTGTGATATATTTGCACTATTAGTCAACATGTTGAGTCAACTTTAAAAGTTAGAAGGCAGCTTCAAAATAAAGGATGTTCATTCCACATTCGAAAATTAAATATATAGTTTACAAATAGACTTTGAGGAGAGCGTAGGAAATCCGAAGAGTAAAATAGTGACCCAAGGAACAATCTATATTTATGGGGAAATGACAAATGAAAAGCCATCAATGTAAATAATATTAGAAAAGACAGACTAATTTTCAAATGCAGATTTAGAAGCATTTATGGCTTGCTATGTTGAAGCTAATCGACCAAGGACTTTGCAACACATTAAAAATTTTTCATCTAGTTAATAAGTTCAGGCAGAAATTAAACAACAACAAGAAATTAAGACTGGGAAAACCCTATAAGAATTGGAGAAGACAGGTGTAACCATATTTATGCCTGATAACAAGGAGAGAAACTTAGATTGGAATTATTTGGCAGGTTACGAAAAGCAAAAGAGAGACATAGAAGACACAGTGTTATTGGCCTTATAATACCCAGAAGTTTACGATTCTCTTACAGCCTTGACAAGAGTTAAAAATGAGCCAAATAGACCTAAGGCAATATTGTTTGAAGGTCCTCCAGGGACAGGAAAGACAACCACAGCAAGAATTATAGCCTAATAAGTTTAAATTCCTTTGGTTTATTTGCCTATTGAGAGTTTTATGTCGAAATGGTATGGAGAGAGTGAGAGACAATTCGCAGATATTTGGAAGGGTTGTCAATAGTTAGGAAGAGCTATAATTTTTATTGATGAAATAGATGCCATTGCATAATAAAGAGGAGGAGAAATGCATGAGGTATCAAGGAGAATCTTGTCTACTCTTTTGAGAAAGATCGATTCTTTTGAAAGCAATACAAATGTACTATTGATATGTGCAACCAATAGAAAATAAGATCTTGATGCTGCCATGTTAAGTAGGATTGATTTGTCTGTTAAATTTGATTTGCCAGATAATTAGGCAAGATAAGAGATCTTTTAAAGATATGCCAAGCATCTGACTGATAAAGAGCGAGAGATACTGAGTCAATTGAGTAATGGAATGAGTGGAAGAAACATTTCGGATATTTGCAAAGATGCTGAAAGAAGATGGGCAGCAAAGTTAATTAGAAAAGAAGTTACTGAACAATTGCCTTCATTGGCGTAATATAAGGAGACTCTAACCTAAAGATTAAATAACTTCGCTTGAGTGTTTTATATATATATATATATTATTTTTAATATTTTATAATGTCTTCAAACAATAATCGTTAATTGTAGGCAAGGCCCAATAGAAAAACCGAACAATCTTTTGATTTCTTCAAAAACACAAAAGTCTCCACTTGTAGTTATATCAAAAGAAAAGGAGATGATTTCATTGCAATTCCATTCTACTTTAAACCAAATTAAAGAAATCTAGATTACTTAAAGTATAACATATATTTCAAATAGTAAATCCATGTATTCCACATCAACCAACCATGATGCTTATAACAATAAACGAAGATGTTTTTCGAGCATGAGAAACAAACCATTAACTCCATACAATCCTTTAGCTCATAGGAGCAGATTAGTAGATTAAAGTTTAAGGATCTCGTAAAGCAACGTATGCCAAGTAGAAATTGGAGATAGGTTATAAAAAATACTAATCTTAGAAATTAGAGAATGACTAAGCATTACGTAACCTAATATCAGAATCACTTGGGAAATTTCGGAGATATCACCCCTTGTTCAAATCCTTAGATTTTGGCTGAGAGGGCCAAATGGAATCACAAACTCAAGGAGAAATGACTTCATATTATGTTTAGCTACTATATACACCTGGGAATCTCATTAAAACTATTAAATAATGATTCATTTTTAATCATCAAAATTTTAATTCTTTTAGGATTTTCACTTGAGATATAATGAAACATAAATATCCAATGAATTTTATTATATTAAAATATAAAAATGCAAAGCACTCAAAAAAACAGAGAGGACAACAATTCGTCGAGAAGTAGAAGTGAATCTCCTTTGAGTCAGGAAGAACAAGAAAGAAGAAAGAAACTACCTGTCTATGAAAAGACATTGGAAGAAAAAATAATGAGCAAAAAAATCAAGGCTGTTGAAAAGGATAGGTTGATTAAGGTGTTTAATGCACTGATTCAATTGGAGCCTAAAAGGGTTGAATAAGAAATGGACGGGAACAAAACCACAGATGGTGACACCAAACTTGGAAAATAAAAAAGGAAGAAATCCAATGAACCCAAATTCTCGGCAAAAGCCATTTATGCAATGATGAAAAAGCTAAAATACACTCCTATTGGTGATGAAGTAGAAAGAATGATATGGGAAATAGATGAAGATTTGGATGAATAAATCAGCTGGTATGAATTTTAATTAATGTTCAAAAGATGCATTAAGGATACTTCTTATCTAGAACCCAGGTATATAATTAATAAAATTAAAGAGGTTTATTTAACTTTGTGCAGTTTTTAATGTATGCATATGACAAAGAAGCCATAAAAAATACTATAACCGTCGAAGACACTTTGGAATTATTATATGTGAGGTGTGGGAGATAAAATTTAGATGGAGAAATATTCAAAATATTCGGATAAGATGAAAAGACAGCTGATGGATAAGAAAAAGAAATTACTTATTCTGAATATCTGGCTTAGATGAAAAAGAAAGACTTCAACAATTGGACTGAATTAGAAAATAAGAAAAAGAAATACGATCCTTCAAAAGAACAAAACATTAATAAAAAAGATTGATTATTATCTAAAATAACATTAATTTCTATCCAAACATATATAATCATCATTATTTAAGAATTCGAAATTTGACTCATCTGCTATAATTGAATATAATTCTAATATTTGATATTTCCATAATGTACTTAAATATAAATTTAACTGAGATCTTATAATAAGACATTTTAAAACTTTAGAAAAATTTTGAGATTATCTTTAAAATTATAATAAAATTGTAAGTTTTATTTTCCATTTATTACATTATCAATATCCATATTTATAATGATTCAAAATTTTCTCATAAGTATTTTAACTTTTGAAATATTATACTATTTTTCTAAATTAGCTCGAAAATACATTTCAACTTTTAGATTTCTTTCAAATATACAGAATATTACAAATCTAAATAATCAGAAACTTTTAATTGTGCCAATTAATATATAATTAGTTAAAATATATAGAGATAAACAAAAAATAGATATGAATCAAAACTAAAAATTGATTGAATTATAAACATATATTTTTAATTCTCAAATATAGTTGACTATTCCAATTAAAATTACATCTTAAAAAATTTAGTGAATTGATTAAAACCCAACTTGAATTAGTATATCGATTGCAAATATACAACTTATTATTAATTTCATCTATGATATTCTAATTAATTATTATTAATTATACTTATTCATTAGACAGTATCCTGCAAAAATATGAGCAAATCCATATACAGATCTTGCTTTCAAAGCTAAGGCTACAAACTATTATAAGTTTTTCATTCCTAACTAACGAACTGATCTATTATAATGCAATTATGTCCAAGGGTCTGTCAATAAAGCAATTCCATAAATGGCAATATAAATTCCTATGAGAAAAATTCCTAAACCTTTCATAGTTTATAAAGAAACTCTATTTATATAAATATTATATTTATTAAACAAAAGTGTTATATCTAATTGAGAAATTTTAATTAAATATCGCAGTAATAGAAATAATCAAATGAATAATAATGAGACCAGAGTATTAAAAATGTTTGATAAATTGTAAAAAGATAATTTAAGAGGTATCTGATATTTTCATAACATAAAGTTTAAATATAGTCAATAGTATGATTAAGGACGCTATTAAGTATTTTAAGGTATATTTTAGATTGGTTTTTTAGATTAATTTTTTGTATCTAGCACTTGATGATGAAGTTATTCATTTTCTTTTTTTAATTTTTCATTTTCTAATTTAAGCTCTGAAATTTATTTTTCCAAGTAATTTATTTGTACATTCAAAGCCTTTACTTCACCTTCACCTTAAGCCCTGATAACTTATCTATCTCCCTCTGCTTTGGCTATTTTTTCTCTTAGATTCATGCATTCTTTATTCATATCATCATATTTTAATTAAAAGTGATAAAGCTTTTCTTCTGCTTATCTTCTCTGTTTTTAACTATCTAGTCTATTTAATATAGAAATACTTTGCTCTTCCATTTTAGCTTATTCTAAATCTCTTTATAATTATTCAACTTATTTGAGTGTTCTTTATAAGTGATAATCTTATATTGCATTAGTATTCTCCACTTTATCGTCTTACTTTTTGAACTTCCTATAACTTTATGTTGTATATGTCGTAGATGATGGATAATACATAAGGATCGTTAATTTTATTATTATAATCAACTGTATATATATATAATGTTTGAATATGTTATTTATAATTCATCGTCTAAAGATTCTCCATTTCTTAAACTAATTGGGTCATTTAAGACTTATAAGAGTAGAATTTATTGTGCTTTTGCTGTGTGATTATAATTTTCTAAATATATATCTTTCTAGAATTTAAAAATAATATATATCATTGATTTTAAATAGTTTATAACAACATCATTCATAGTTCAACATGAACCACCTAATATAAAAATAGTTGAATTTTCATCCTCTTAATACATACTCTAACTGCAAAATTCTGAGAATGGTTGAATATATTCTGCTGGCAGTATTCTATTTTGATAAGCTTTTTTATATTTGGATAGGAATTTATCGTAAGGAAATGGTCTTTACAACTCGTTTATTAAGATCTAGATTGCTACCATGTATTGTATTCTTGAACCTGGTTTGGTTTTTTGGTTTCGTTAAATGCAATCCCTGATATGCCTCGAGGACAAGAAAGCTTCCCAAGCTTCTTTGACTAATTTATACTTCTTGGAGTTCTTGGGATTAAAAATTTTCTTAAGATCTCCTAATTCGAATTTCTTTTGATTTGACCTCTTCTCATCTTTCAACTTCTATAAAATAGTACTGACGCTGGCCAGACTGTTATCGTTGGTTTGCTTAGCCCAAATTGAAAATTGATTCATAAAAAATGGCACGATTCTTCTTGAGAAGTCTTGAGATACTCCATCTACTTAATTTACTTCATTGGTCATTTAGGATTAAATCATTGATTAGAACATCAAGAACTATTCCTTACTCACCTTCATCACTACGTAGTTATCCTCGTGCTCTATTACTTCATAAAAATTCATTGATTTTATTATTCAATTCTTAAAAAACTATTTCATTTATAAACATTACAAAAGATTGAAGGATTCTCCAAAAAAAATAGAATTTAACAGAATTTTTTATTGTTTTATTTTCATTATTCTAATAGTAGATGTTTCTAGATTATTTCAAATAAATCTCTTAAATTCAAACCTATACCTTAATCATAGATTGTACACTAATCCCACCTAGACTTTTAGTTCAAAATACTTCTTTTATAAAAAATGTGCAACTTCTTCCATCAAACCAGGCATTCTATATATGTCATATTCTAAAATAATGGCATAGCAAATCCATTCTATAGGTTTTAGGTATATTCCTCTTTAGACAAAAGGCATTTCAATAAGAAATAAAACTAAGCACAGCTCTGCACTTTTTTGTATTTATATATTTGAATTCATATAGAAGAAAAAAAATCATATTAAGGAGCTAATTCTTACTTAAGAAATTATCAACAATGTGTATTGACAATTATTTGAGGCTCTAAGGAATAGAAATTCTATAGCATTTATATAATATAAAAAAATTTAGCTATCTGAACAGTTGAAATGTATTAGTTTACAGAAAGAAAAAGTATTATGTTAAATACAAACTCTGTTTTTCATGTTCGATAATAACATCATTTTTAGTCACAACCATCGAAAATAATACATAATTAAATTCTTTTACAATCACAATTAATAATAAATTAATTCATATTTTATATAAATACTTAATTAATTTATATTAAAAATTAAGATGATCATTAATGTAATTAATAAATGTGGAACATTATCAAGAATGGTCATATCATATATTTTCAATTAACATACTTTAATTATCTTACATAAATTTACATAAAAACTCATCATTCCATTACATATAATGCTATTTTGTATTCGGTTGTATCAATTAAAGAGGTTAGATTCCCAATTCTTCGACCTCCTTAAGGATGATCCACCCAAATACTAAATCTACTTTGATCTTATGGATCAAAATTATCTGCTAATTGAAGTTGAACTTTCTCATTCGGTGCAAAACCAATAGAAATTCTAGGAACAAAATACCAGAACAAATTGTCACTTGATCTACTTTATCTTGCTCTATCTCTGCTTGTTGTTATTGTGAAGATTTCATAAGCGTAATCACACGCCATCACTGCAAAATGACTGGGCTTTTTAACAGAAATCCCTCCAAAACAGGCTATTCCAGTTAAGCTGAATGAATTAGCTAACTCATCAATTTACTCAAGACTTAAAGATTTATTTAAATATTAATCTAAATATATTTTGAAGCCTTGCAACAATACGATTGGATAATCTATTTCAATTTTACCTAGAAGGTACTTCTGAGCATTGAAAAATTATTTATTCCTCAAAATTCGATCATCAACATACTCTCTAACTTCTTAGATTGTACTATAAAATTTAGAGTGTATTTATAGAATATCCTCATCAACTTTATCAAACTTCTCTATAAACACTTTATTATTATTATCCCAATCATTTGGTTATTTTATTATTTGTACTCTATTCAAATCGAAACTTTGATTCTGTACTTACACTTATTCTTTTAGATTAGAAAGTTCTTATGAAAGTGTATTTATTGTTTAATTTTAAAAGTAAGCTGCTTCTTTAAATTATTTCTACAACTCTATCATTTCTACTTTTAATTGCTAATTGTATAATTTCAAATATTCTATTTCATTAATTAATTTGCTCTCCAAAGTGTTTTTAATTTCTTCTATTTTAATTATATTCTCCTATTGAAAATCAGAGACTTGTTCCTTGATTTGAATGATATCTGATTCAAAGAGAAGTGACTCCTTTATCTGAATATATTTTTAATCCTTCTAAGTTAAAATGGAGAATTGATTACTAATCAAAATAAGAATTGCAATAATAAAAGTAAATTTAAATAGTTTATTTGTTGCATATGGATTTTCTAGTTTCTTTAATCTATCATCGGTTTGAATTAGTTTCTCTTCTTAGCTAAAAGTAAAACAAATAATATACTTTGCAAACATCTTCTATAAATCAATGCCTTTTTTAGCTAAATTTGTTCTAATCCTATCAAAAACCTAAGTTTGTTTGTTTATAAGTTCATTGTGAAATTTATCATCATTTCTTTTATACAAATCCAAGATAGATTTTTGGGTTGAATTATTGTATAACTTTGCTTCATTCAATATTCTTTGATGATAGCCTAATTCATTGATAAGCATCTAGAGTTGAGTATCAACTTCAGCCTTTGCTTATAATAAGAAGTTTTAGTCATGAAATGGAAATTTTTCTATTTTTTATATTTATTCCTTCTGAAAATCGAAGCATTTTTATTGCAATATTTGTAAGAAATTAAACCTTGCTTGATATTTCGATTCTAATTGATTTAACAGATCTTTTAATTCTATAAAATCATCTAAGTGACGAACAGTTTTAGTATTTTTAAATTTCTGAATTCCCTTTTAATTAGTGTGTTACAATGTTAAACATTTATGGCATACCAATTAAAATTTTTTCGCTTAAATACATTCCATATTTGTGCAAATAAAACTTCTATTCAGATGTGTTAATTTACACAATTCATGATCTTCATCTCTTAATTACATTATGAGAAATTTAAAATAATTAAGTAATAAAAATATAAGAATTTCAAGTTAAATTAAAATTTCAAATCAGGGGTTGAATCCTTTTATTTGCAAAATACATCAAAATTTCATAAAAGACACTTACTTATTGGCTTTGAATTAATATCATAGTTATTTTTATCAATAGGCTCTGATAATACAATTACCAACAACTCAAATAAATGGATGAGAATAAACCTGAAATTAGATAGGCTTAATTAAAGAAGTCTTATACGAATACAATAATTATCATAATTTAAATAAATATGACCTAATCAAAGTGATTTTTCATTATGCTTTTGACAATTGAATCGAAATTAGAAAAAGTATTATAAATTGGATTAATTTGATAAAAACAAAAATAATTGATCTTAATTTATAATAGAATATTTACATATAATTATTTCTTCTATCAATAGTCTATTTGTGAATTAATTTTATCCTCCTTCCTAAAATATGATAAATGATTTTAATGTGCATTAGGGATTGTTGAATTTTTATTAACTAGTATGAATCCTAGATACAATTATCCTAAGAGATCTGTTTCCAGCATGGAGAGATAACAAATCCTTAAGGCTTTGGGAAGTAATCCTTCTGATAAACATATTGAATACATGGCATAGGAATACGATCTCAAAACACGAACAATAAAGTCTTGGATAAAACAGCAATTTTAAAATTAAAGCAAAGCATCTGAATCAGAGGAGGACTATCAAAGCAATCGCAAAAAAAAA